GCTTGCAATTGGTGGGATGAAACCAGGAAGAGTCCTGCCCCTCCAAAAGGACAGTGGGGGAGGGGACGCTGATTATTAGCATGGCAAAGCTTCTGGAGAATGCAAACTGCAAACAATTGTGTCCCTAGGCCACTGACTTTGATGAGATCAGCAGCAAACTTTGACGAGATCAGCAGCTCTTTGCCCTGCATACATTTTAAGTGTTCATATTAATGCAGTAAAATCATTTCTTGAGATCCTCTTACCTTATTTTGAAATGTTATGAAGCTTTGGCATATAGTATATTATTACACAGGTGTTCTTTAAAGTACAAGTGGAAAGCTGCAACTTGGGTGTGTAAAAATTATTAAACAGGGAAGTGTTCTCCCACAAGCTTAAGACTGCAGTTGAAGGTAGCCCCTCTAAATCAACCCATCATGCAGTGTATCCACGTTACTGTCTTTGGATCCAAGGAGACAGGGTCAGACCCTTTTAGTATGAGCAACATGTTTTTCAAGATGCCCTATAAATGCATATTATATTGTTTTAATCTAATTAATTCACTTTTGCATTTATTTTCCTATTCTCTAGTGTGCTTGTGAAGCAGTCTTTGATTAGTTCTCTAACACACACTGAATACCTAACACATTCTGATGTTGCTGACATGAACAGACTTCCAGAAATTATGCATTCACTAGCTACCTGTGCCTATGTGCTCTCATGTGGTTTATCAAAAATGTTACTGACTGCTTTTCCATCTGTACAAATGAATGAGTGGATTTTGAATCCCTCTTATCAGGATATCTATTTAGATGCAGGCAGATGGTGTAAACCTGCAACAGGAAAGAGGATCTACAACACTTTTATTTATACTGTTATGCGGTGGGCAATTAAAACAAGACTCAAGCTTCGTATCTCTGAAAAATCATACTGTAACGAGATGGAATGTAATCAGACTTTCAAGTTTAACAAATGTGGTTTACATGTATGATAAATCTACAATGTGATGTAAGCTTACCGTTTATATATAGACAAAATTTTTTTTTAGTATTGGATAGAGTAGGGAAAGATTAAAACCTTTGATGTTGGTGACATTTCCCTTTATCCACTGTCCCAGAGTTGCAACAGGATATTAGAAGAAATCTCCCAATGTGAGGGGAAGCCGTCTCTTAGATAGTTGTTCCTGGAACAATTGTCCCTATTAAAAGTTTTCCCCTATAACATTGTTCTGGGGACAGCTCAAACATTTTCGATTTCCCCTCACTTTCTGTTTTGATTACAATGATCACCTATACAGACAGAGAGGTGAATCTACCACCTAGACAGCAATATAAATATAACAGAAGGTCTAACCCAGGCTGGACAAATCCCACGAGCCAGGTAGCCAATGCCCCTAACTCTTGAGGTTTCTTTAGCTGTTGTTAATAGTGTTGTCTCTTTAAAAAATTCTTCTGTCTTCTAAATTAGACAAATTCCTGAATTCCATATTTTTTTTTTAAATTCTTTATTTAGAAGAGATTTTTTCCTTTTTGTACATAAAACAAGCAGGGTACAATGGGTGTCAACAATGGCCCGCAAGGGCTGAGAAACTTGCATAGACATAACATTCTTACATAGGTAGGACACACCAAAACGAGGCCGAGGCTCCGTTGTGCATCCGCGGGGTAGTAGGCCCCGATTCCTTACCCTGAGTTGCAGGGGTCATGGTCGTCCTGGAGGATCGGCGCTTTGAAGAGGCCGGTGTAGAGAGATAGCGCTGCAGAGAGGTCTGAGACCGCTTCCCGTAACTGGAGCGCGATTTGTTCTTCTTGGACATGAAGAATATGGAGGTAGAGGATGTTAAAATCAACTGAAAAGTCCCAGGCAGGTGCAGAGCTCAGACAATGTGCTTCCTCACGCCGCCATAGCCAAGCCACGCCCCCCCTGAATTCCATATTAATTTGTCCACTCTAACCCTTCCCCACTCTATTTAAAACTATAAACAAATTGCCTAAAAATGCATATTGTTTTCATCTTTTTTGAAATCCTTGCTTCTATGTTTGTTATTCTTAATTATATATGTACAAGGAAGTAGCTATATTTACTTATCACCTAGGCTCTGATTTTCAGTGCTATAAGTAGTGCTTCACAACTCCATCAAACAATACAAGTCTATGGCTGGCGTCACACGTATGAGGAGTGCCGTGCATTTGGGTGCCATTCATTAATAATTCCATGTAAAACCTCTTTGTAATTATAGATATATATGTTTAAAAACATACAAACTTTTTAGTTAAATTGACCCCAAACCAATATTATTTATCGTTAAAGTGACACTAAACTCAGGAGTTATAGCTTAAAAAAATCATTCATGTACCCTATGAACAAAAATTAATCTTATTTGTGCATCATTCACCTGTAGATCCTCAAATCATCTCTGAATTAATGCTGACCCTGCCTTTCCTTCTGGAGGGTGGCTACTTTTGTTCCTCAATTTTGTTCCTGTGTGTGTTGTAAAGTAGCCACCATGCCAAGCTTGCTCCCATGATAGACTACAATGTCACATTTAGTTTCCTAATTTCTATTGAGATTGTAGTCCATCACGGGAGTGAGCTTGGAGCTACTTTACAACAAACACAGGGCCCATGGAGGAGAAAAGTAGCCACCTTCCATTTAGAAGGCAGGACATTGTCAGCACCAATTCAGAGATGAGTTGAGGATCTACAGCTGATCGATGCACACATAATTCACATTTTTGTGAACGGTTAAGGGTTTTAAATCCTGAGTTTAGTGTCACTTTAAGGCTTGGCAAAATATATGTTACTGCTTGTGAGGTTGGATCTGTTTGATGCAACTAAAACAACTTGAGTTGTTCTGAAATGTACACAAATATTCTCCAACAATAGCAGAGAAAAATATTAATGAGTATATCACTGTACACTTCATGGCACAGTTTTTCAATTAGTCCCCACTGAATATGTCAAGAAGTGGAATGCCGTACATTCAATGCATGAACTTACATCCACATGGGTTTTTTACAATTGAATGTACGTGTGAAGGAAGTGTTTTTCAGCCTGAGTGAAGGTATTCTGAATTTTTTATTGGAAAAGGGGAACAAAAACCAGACAGCTCAGAAGGTGATTTGGAAACATTGCAATTTATGTGCCTTTTCTCTTGTAGGTGTGGCAACAATTACCTTAAACATAGGAAGGTTCTTTTTTCTAAAGTAAATGTTAACCTAAAAACTACAAATATA